AACATCATAAAAGAAATAAAGTCCAGAAGACTCCAATGGGCAGGACACCTCAGAAGACATTCTGACGAACGAACAGTAAGACTGGTGTGGAAGGAAGTCCCAACTGGAAGGAGACCACGCGGACGCCCTCGTCTCCGGTGGCGAGATAATATAGCAGGAGACCTAAGCACTATGGGCGTGGTGAATTGGATGGAGGTTGCTAAAGAGAGAAAACAGTGGAGGCATGTTGTCGAGTCGGCTAAAACCCACGAAGGGTTGTAACGCCACGGAGTAAGTAAGTAAGATAACAGTATTGTGGTCGAAACCGATGTCCGTCCCAGAACATGTTTTAACTGTCCTGATTTAATTTCTATAACGCTTGTCAATTAATATATAATAAAACAAAATGACGGTATTAGATTTTGATTTGATACAGAGCAGCAACAAACCGCATATACGTATTTCGATCTCTTTAGATCTCCTCAGAACGGTATAGTTACTACTCCATATTAATCCAAAATATTTTCCCGTCGTAGATTATAGTTAATAAAAATAACTATTTACGGACGTGACTACGCCATCTAAGAACAAAAAGAGAAATCATACGATTTCTACCTGGCGAAATCGAATTCAAATATAAGCCGCCGTGCCCCCTAAGACTTGCGAAGCAAACGGCTTGATGAATGAAATCAATATAGATCAATATAGATCAAATCAAAATTTAATACCGTCATTTTGTTTTGTTTATTTACTTCATTTGGAGTACCAGAAATCGAATTCACTACGAATATAGGCCATGATGAACGGCATTTGGAGTGCAATTTTTAGACTCCCTTGCCGATTCATTCATCAAGCTGTTTGCTTCGCAAGTCTTAGGGGGCACGGCGGCTTATATTTGAATTCGATTTCGCCAGGTAGAAATCGTATGATTTCTCTTTTTGTTCTTAGATGGCGTAGTTACGTCCGTAAATAGTTATTTTTAATAACTATAATCTACGACGGGAAAATATTTTGGTTTGATATGGAGTAGTAACTATACCGTACTGAGGAGATCTAAAGAGATCGAAATACGTATATGCGGCTTGTTGCTGCTCTGTATCAAATCAAAATCTAATACCGTCATTTTGTTTTGTTTATTTACTTCATTTGGAGTACCAGAAATCGAATTCACTACGAATATAGGCCATGATGAACGGCATTTGGAGTGCAATTTTTAGACTCCCTTGCCGATTCATTCATCAAGCTGTTTGCTTCGCAAGTCTTAGGGAGCACGGCGGCTTATATTTGAATTCGATTTCGCCAGGTAGAAATCGTATGATTTCTCTTTTTGTTCTTAGATGGCGTAGTTACGTCCGTAAATATTTATTTTTAATAACTATAATCTACGACGGGAAAATATTTTGGTTTGATATGGAGTAGTAACTATACCGTACTGAGGAGATCTAAAGAGATCGAAATACGTATATGCGGCTTGTTGCTGCTCTGTATCAAATCAAAATCTAATACCGTCATTTTGTTTTGTTTATTTACTTCATTTGGAGTACCAGAAATCGAATTCACTACGAATATAGGCCATGATGAACGGCATTTGGAGTGCAATTTTTAGACTCCCTTGCCGATTCATTCATCAAGCTGTTTGCTTCGCAAGTCTTAGGGGGCACGGCGGCTTATATTTGAATTCGATTTCGCCAGGTAGAAATCGTATGGTTTCTCTTTTTGTTAATATATAATAATAATAAAATCTTAAGCAATGATTTTATGATGCGTCCTAATAAACTAAGTAAAAAAGTATTGCCTTAAAAATCTGATAGAACAACTAAGTATAGAAAAGAAATACGGTGGACAACATGTTTGTTACAATTTTAAAAGAGACAATGATAGTTTGCTGGCATCTTAAAAACCTCAGTACTTATAGCAAATCTGACAAAACACCATAATATCAAAAGAAAACTTATGCATTTAGCGAGGTGTTAAAAACTGTTCTATAACACATGACATTCCCAAAAAAATTCCTTTCAGCTACAACACAGTTTGGAAGCCCTATTGGTGAAATATGCCATGATGTTAAAAATTAAAAAACTTTATCAAAACTTTAAAACTTCAGACTTTTGAGCTGTGGCTATACAGAAGGATCCTGAAGATACCATGGACAGACAAAGTCACCAATGAAGAAGTACTGCGGAGGATGAACACAACCGCGGATTTGGCCAACATTGTGAAGAGCCGTAAGCTGGGTTACTTGGGACATATAATGAAAAAACAAGGCAGATACGAACTACTTCAATGCATTTTGCAAGGTAAATTTAAAGGAAGAGTCCCAGGACAGAAAAGGATATTGCTAACCTGAGAGCATGGTATAGAAAGACCTCAACGCAGCTATTTCCCATAGCAACCAACAAAGTCATCATAGCCAGAATGACCACTAACGTTCGAAACGGACAGGCACCCAAAGACGAAGAAGTTAAAGATTTCTTGTGTACTTCTCTATAAAAGGAACCCTTTTCCAATTCAGTTGGATAAGTTAACTTGACCTGATACTGAAGCAATCTTATTGGCATATATGGACGTTTTGTTATGGATCAAGACATCCAAAAAAAAATTTGCTTTTGCTACTTTTGCAACAAATGCAAGAATTTATCTTATGAAGACACAACTTATTGCCGCCGCAATAAATCAAATAAATAAATAAAATACCAAATTGGGAAGCAATGCCTCAGCTGGCAAAAATGCAGTTCAAGGTAGTTGAACTCATCAGATAACTTTCGAAAAATTTCCACATTAGGGGGTCCATGGAAATCAAAAATATCGGTAAGTGGTCTACGGAACAATGGTTCCGTACGGAACCATCAAGGTTTAAGAAACACTGATTTAGAGCAAAAACTGAAACAGTAGACACAGAATCTATAAAAAAGTATAAAAGAAAGTTAATACGTAGTGATAGGTAGTCAGATGATGATGGTATGAGATGGATAGAGATGGTCAATGATATTAAAAGAACGATTATGGCAGTAAACAGGAAAGTTAAAACACAGATCAGGAAGAGAAAGCATAACGAATGGATGACGGACGAAATTATGGATCTAATGGAAAAGTGAAGGCAACATAAACAACAACGTAATCAAGACAAATACAAACAGATACACAAAGAAATCCGTCAGAAAATTAAGAAAGCAAAAGAACGTTGGATGGTGGAAAGGTGTAACGAAATAGAACAATTGCAGAGTCAGAAGTCAGAAGAGGAGATAGCAATGGCGTGGAAAGAATACGCAGAAAGCCTTTTTAATGACTAAAGACTAACACAACCAACGCGAAAACTTCCTTCCGAAAACTTATCAGGGCCATCAATAATGCGAAGTGAAATAGAATATGCAGTTAGAACCACAAAGATGCATAAAGCAACAGATCCAGATGAAATTAATATAGAAGCAATAAAACTACTAGACTAAGAGAATATCGGAATCTTGGTAAGGCTGTTCAATAGAATTTATGATACTGGTTACATTCCGCGAGAATGGCTACAGTCATCCTTTGTGATGATCCCAAAAACAGCTAATGCCACAAAATGCAATGAACACCGCTTAATCAGTTTAATGAGTCACTTGTTGAAACTCTTCCTTAGGATATTGCACCCAAGAATGTACAAGATACTAGAAGAACTTAGCGGGTCAACACAATTCGGTTTTAAGGGAGGACTAGGAACAAGAGAGGCAATTTTATGTTTGAACACCTTAATACAAAACTGCTTAGATCAACGAAAAGATGTCTACCTCGCCTTCATCGACTACGAGAAGACATTTGACAATGTTAAACATGATATCATTATGGAACTACTACATAGAGCCAACATTGACCAGAAGGAGATCAGAATTATTCAGAATCTATATTGGAACCAAATTGAAAAGGTGAGGATTGATCAAGACCAATATACGGATGAATTTGAAATCCGGAAAGGTGTCCGCCAAGGCTGCATACTCTCTCCGATGCTTTTTAATTTATATGTTAAAAATATATTTGCGGAAGCATTAGAAGATACGGAATTAGGCATTAAGGTGAACGGCATACCAATTAGCAACCTACGCTATGCGGACGACACAGTGATTATAACTGATAATTTGGAAGATCAGCAGTTATTACTTGATAGGGTGAATAGCATAGGTAAAAAAATATGGCCTCAAAATCAACATTTTGAAAAGGAAATATATGGTCATTAGCAGAAACTCTCCAGAAAACCCGATAACATGCATATGTGACAATCGTATAAATCGCGTGAAAACTTTTAAATACCTTGGCACCACAATCAATGACCAATCGGATCCACAACACGAGATAAAAACCCGAATACAAATGGCAAGACAAGCTTTTGTGAAATTCAGACCGCTCCTATGTAATCAACACCTAAACTTCGAAATACGCTACAGAATGGGCAAGTGCTACATATGGTCCATCTTGCTTTATGGCATGGAAACGTGGACTTTGAAAAAAACATCTATCAATAAACTTGAAGCATTTGAAATTGCTTTCAAATTCATTGAGAAGAATGATGCGCATACCTTGGGTGGATAGAGTTCGAAACGATGACATCCTTAATAGAGCCGGCGTGGAAAGAGAACTCTTTGAATTAATTAAAAAACGCAAGATTGGTTACCGTGGGCAAATATTGAGAGGAGCAAAATATGAAATACCACAGTTAATCCTACAAGGGAAGATCGAAGGTAGGAGAGGAGCCGGCCGCAAACAATTATCCTGGTTAAAAAATATTAAAGGATGGACAGGAATACACAATACAGGTGAGCTGTGTCACGCCGCCAAGAACAGAATTCTAGTAATGAGATAGTCGCCTACGCACTTAGGTGTATGGCATGTTAAGAAGAAGAAGGTAGTCAGATAATATAAATGTATATCTCTAAATGGTAATAATATTAGTATGGAAAGCCATCGTCAACTACAGATAAAGACAAAAAGAATGACGATAATATTAAAAATAAAAATTGTACCTAAATGATAGTAAATTGTATGCTTACCATTTAATCAATAAAACTTTACAATTTTGATATAGCCATATAATATCTTCATTTGCAACTTAAATATTTTAATTTCTCACTGGTATAATAATTAAATTTTTATCTGTAAATACGCGGTCATAATTTAGCAGTTACCATTAGTAAGACAAAAGTAAATAATACAAAAAATTTTCTCAAGGACAATCAAAATAATTTTTTTTATATTTTACGTTGACAGTGACATATTTTTTTAAAATCTGTCAGAACGATTTGTTTTTACTGGAAAATTACTTAGGAAAACTGTAGCGAATGGAAAAAATATGTAATTTAGCCAATGCAATTTGGTAAAAAGAAGAAAAATGTTTTGAAGTTTTTGCAAACAAAACTGAAAACTAGATATTAACAGATATTGTTGGGGTAAAATATTTAGTTCAAGAAATGTATAAAATTAAAGACATTCAAGAATTCTTGGTATAGAATCAATATGCTAGAAGACTGGACATTTTTAATGAACGTAATTAGTTTCAGAAAGAAATTATTAAAGTAGAGAAGACAGATAAAGAAACTGACTTTGACTTTGTATACTTACAATTTTGTGTTACAGCATAGGCATGTTTTGTGTCTGATTGAACCAAAGAAACGTTTAACAGAGTAAGACTCAAAGATGTAATCCATCTTCTGTATAATCGAAAAGCTCCCCTAAATATTATAAAAACTATTAAAAACATATACCAAAACAATGAAATGGAAGTCAGAATAGAAAGACAACTTACAGAACCTATAGAAATAGGCAGCGGAACAAGACAAGCAGATTCATTGAGCCCCATGCTCTTTAATGTGATCATGGACGAAATCATCAAAAGCGTTAACAAAGGAAGAGGATACAAAATGGGAAACAAAGAAATAAAAATAACCTGTTATTCAGATGACGCAATATTGATAGCCCAAGATGAAGATAGTCTGCAAAAACTGGTTCACAAATTTAACAAAAGAGCAAAATATATTAATCTGACAATCTCATCTCAGAAAACTAAAACAATAGCAGTCGGCAAAGAACCAACCAGATAACCAATAGAAATTGATGACATCAGTATTGAACAAGTAATGGAAATAAAATACCTGGCAATTACACTGTCTAGTTATGGAGACCTGAACAAAGAAGCGAGAGATCAAGTACAAAAAGCAAATAAACTAGCAGGAGGCCTTAATAATATGGGCGAAACAGACATTAACACTGAGATGAAGTTAAGAATTTATAAAGCTAGTGTAAGACCAGAAGAAGTATCGGACCACCGCGCAAATGACGGAGTCCACAACATTAATTACTATTTAACTGGAAATAAGCCACAAGTAAAGATAAAAATACGTTTATTGACGTTTCAATTTCCACTTCGGAAATCGTTATCAAAATACAAACAGTAAATTTAAACAAATTTGGTTTTTTGTTACATAGTGAAAAATTCTTCTAATAATTTAATTTTATCTGACTCATTTATATTGACAATTCAGTATTGTCAATTCATATTTGTCATTTTAAAGTAGACGACTTTAAAATGATATTCCAATATTGTTGAGTTGCGCTCCTGGGACGACTTTACTTATAAGATAGTTCATTCGATTACATGAAATCAACTTTAACTTGAGAATATCCTTCAGAAAAAAATCATAGCATATAATTCGTCTTTAAAAAGACAAACACATGACCTGATGGCAGTAAAATTCTCCTGTTAGTGATCCCATAGTAAATTATGAGGCAAAAACCAGAAAAAAAAACCTTATAATACTATACCAACATGGTAAGTATTTGTTTGTGCATTTAGTTTACCTTCAATAAACACCAAAATTCTGATTTTATATGTTTCGTTATTTAAAAAACATAAAGGATGTATCCTCTATATGTTACTGACTTACTAATACTGGTATTTTCTTATTAATAACTTCCTCTTTCAATATTGGTAACCAGATCCTACTACATTCTGCCGAGGAATTTGCGACACAATTGGCCTCATTTAGCATAATTAGAGCCGCTTCTTCGATTTTTCTTTTTTTACCATCCGTTTCTTTTAGGACTACATTTGAATTATTCCATTGAATCCTATGTTCATTATCCCATGCGTGTTTACATATTTGAGATCTATCAAATTCTCTATTTTTAATATAAGATTGATGTTCACTTATTCTAACATTTAATGGCCTTGATGTTTCACCTAAATAAAACTGATCGCATTCACAAGGTATTTTATAAATGCAATTCTTTGTCCTTTCTTGTTCATTGTTAGGTTTGGTTTTGGACAAAATAGATCTCAACGTGTTTGTTGTTTTAAATGTTGTTGAAATGTTGAATTTATTTCCTATCCTTTTAAGTTTTTCTGGTAATCCTTTTATGTACGGTATTGTTATTTTTGTCGTATTATTCCTTGTGTATGCTGTAGGATCTCGTTCTAAGTTGTTCTGTTCTATTCGATCGATTGTTGAAAATTCCTTATTTATAAACGATAAAGGATAATCATTTTTTAATAAAACAACTGTTAACAAATGTTTCTCCTCCAAAAACGAATTTTCGTTAGAACAAGTAATTTTGGCTCTATCGTATAAGGATTTAATTATTCCCTTATTTACATTAATATTGTGATTTGATTTGAAATTTAAATATCTATTGGTGTGTGTTGGTTTTCTATACACCTGAGTCTCATATCCAGTATCGTTCTTAGAGATTAAAACATCCAGAAAAGGTAGCGTGTTATTATATTCCTTTTTCATGGTAAATGTTATTGTCTTTTCTTTATCGTTTATATCATTTAGTAATGTGTCCAACAACTCTGATCCATGTGGCCATATTGAGAATACATCATCGACATACCTCTACCATACTGTAGGTTTTAAATTTTGTTTAGAAATGATATTTGTTTCAAAATCTTCCATAAATATATCGGCTAAGAATGGAGATAAACTAGAGCCTATTACTAGACCAAAATTTTGTTTATAGAATTCATTATTTAGTTGAAAATATGTATTATCAGTACATAATGTTAATAACTCCATTGTAGCCGATATGTTTAGCCTTGTTCTAGTTGCCAATGAATCATCGCTCTCTAATTTTGTCTTGACTATACTTAAAGTCTTATTTAATGGCACATTGGCAAATAAACTATTTATGTCAAAACTTAATAAAGTATTATTTAAATTAAATTCAATATTTGATAATTTATTTAAAAAATGTTGTGTATTTTTTATGAATGTGTCATTTTTATTTGTAAATGGTTTTAAAATATTTAATAAAAATTTTGATAGTTCACTACAAGGAGAATTCATGGTACTACAAATGGGTCTAAGTGGTATATTCGTGTTATGAATTTTCGGTACTCCATAAAAATGAGGAGTCTTACTGTAATGAGGTGTAATGAATCCTCTCTGATAACTTGTTAAAAAATCTATAAACTCGAATAAAGTTGTATATATTTTGTTTTCCAAAGGCTTTGTTGGATCTTTTGTTAATTTTGTATTAGGTCCGTTTATTGTTAGATTTTTAATTTTGTTTTCGTATTGAATTTTATCTATTATCATATGGATATATATATATATATATATATATATATATATATATATATATATATATATATATCACATTATCAATATGGCCTCATGGATCAGAGTTGTTGGACACATTCCCAAATGATATAACCATGGAAAAGGAATATATTAACACGCTACCTTTCCTAGCTATTTTAATCTCTAAGAACGATACTGGATATGAGACTCAGGTGTATAGAAAACCAACACACACCAATAGATATTTAAATTTCAAATCAAATCACAATATTAATGTAAAAACAAGGGAATAATTAAATCCTTATACGATAAAGCCAAAATTACTTGTTCTAACGAAAATTCGTTTTTGGAGGAGAAACATTTGTTAACATCTGTTTTATTAAAAAATGATTATCCTTTATCGTTTATAAATAAGGAATTTTCAACAATCGATCGAATAGAACAGAACAACTTAGAACGAGATCCTACAGCATACACAAGGAATAATACGAGGAAAATAACAATACCGTACATAAAAGGATTATCAGAAAAACTTAAAAGGATAGGATATAAATTCAACATTTCAACAACATTCAAAACAACAAACACGTTGAGATCTATTTTGTCCAAAACCAAACCTAACAATGAACACGAAAGGACAAAGAATTGCATTTATAAAATACCTTGTGAATGCGATCAGTTTTATTTAGGTGAAACATCAAGGCCATTAAATGTTAGAATAAGTGAACATCAATCTTATATTAAAAAAAGAAAATTTGATAGATTTCAAATATGTAAACACGCATGGGATAATGAACATAGGTTTAATGGAATAATTCAAATATAGTCCTAAAAGAAACGGATGGCAAAAAAAAAAATCAAAGAAGCGGCTCTAATTATGCTAAATGAGGCCAATTGTGTCGCAAATTCCTCGGCAGAATGTAGTAGGATCGGGTTACCAATATTGAAAGAGGAAGTTATTAATAAGAAGATACCAGTATTAGTAAGTCAGTAACATATAGAGGATACATCATTTATGTTTTTTAAATAACGAAACATATAAAATCAGAATTTTGGTGTTTATTGAAGGTAAACTAAATGCACGAACAAATACTTACCACATGTCGGGATAGTATTATGAGGTTTTTTTCCTGGGTTTTCCCTCATAATTTACTATGGAATCACTAACAGGAGAATTTTACTGTCATCATGTCATGTGTTTGTCTTTTTAAAGACGAATTACATGCTATGATTTTTTTCTGACGGATATTCTCAAGTTAAAGTTGATTTCATGTAATCGAATGAACTATCTTATAAGTAAAGTCGTCCCAGGAGCGCAACTCAACAATATTGGCAATATCATTTTAAAGTCGTCTACTTTAAAATGCATAATGTATGTCTGAATTGTCAATATAAATGAGTCAGATAAAATTAAATTATTAGAAGAATTTTTCACTATGTAACAAAAAACAAAATTTGTTTAATTTATTGTTTGTATTTTGAGAACGATTTCCGAAGTGGAAATTGAAACGTCAATAAACGTATTTTTATCTTTAATTGTGGCTTATTCCCAGTTAAATAGTAAATAATTTAAAATGCCACAAGAAAATAGCTTCAGAACAAAATCTTCCATAAATGTATTAATTCGTCAATGAGAACAAGCAAAATTGCTTTTAAAGAGAAAGAAGAAGAAGCATAGGCCTTAACAAGA